ATTTTGGTAGCCTTTTTTTTGGGGGGGAGTGGGGGGGAAGACACAGTCTTGCTCTGCCGCCCAGGCTGGAGTGCCGTGCCATGGTGCAATCTCAGCTCACCGCAACTTCTGTTTCCCGAGTTCAAGCAATTCTCCTGTCTCAGCCTTCCGAGTAGCTGGGGCCACAGGTGCCTGCCACCACACCAGGGTAATTTTTGTATTTTTAGTAGAGACGGGGTTTCACCATGTTGGCCAGGCTAATCTCAAACTCTTGACCTCAAGTGATCCACCCCCTCGGCCTCCCAAAGTGCTGGAATTACAGGTGTGGGCCACTACGCCCGGCCTGTATCCTTTTTAAACATGGTTCTTAATTTTCAAATTTTTCTTACACATTTTAGTCACCTATACTACATATGTATTGCATATTATGTATTTATATATACATATATCTATATATGTGTATATATGTATATGTATCTATATATGTGTATATACACACACATATATTATATATACATATATATACTATATATCATATATATTGCGTATATATGTATTTACCCTAATAATCACTATTTAATTTTTAAAATTTCTTAAGATGAGTTTTGGCACAAGTTAAAGTTGAATACTTAAGTAACTATGACAATGTCCCGACTAAGAGCCTCAAAATATATACAAAAGAGGGGGAAAAAAATCTGTTAATCCATGAGAGAGAGTCATTTTTCCAATGTTGAGAGGTAGAATAGACCACATGTTAAATCAAGTCACAAGAAATACACAGGCAAACATACATATGTGCGTGCATATGTGCACACACTTACAGGAATGACGTTACTGATAATGGAATCTCATGTCTTAGCTTTTCCTTGCCTTGTCTTTGTCAAAGGAGGAGAATTACTAAGTATTCAGAATCATGATTCCTGTCATTGGAACAGCTGGAGAATATGTCATCCAGCTTCTTAAATTTTCTGAATAAGGAAACTAAGATACACTGAAGTTAACGGTTCTGCTCAAGGTGAAACAACCAGCTAATAACAAAACCACAACTAAAACAGACTGGCCTCTCAATCCAATAGTAACACCTTTAGAAACAATCACAACACTTGATTAATACAATTATTTAGAGTACTGATTTCTTAAAACAAACAGAAAAAACATACAATAATGTGATATTTTTTTCCAAAATAAAAAAGCATAAGCAGTATATTTGGACTTCAGTTCTACACATACTTACTTAAAAGGGGATAAAACCTAACTTAATAATTATCATGTGACCACATTAAAGGGACAGTTATATACTCCTTTTAAAAACTGAAATACTGATTAGTTTTTTAATTACCTTACATGAGCATAAGATAAGCAATAACATTTAGAAACATAAGGAGTAAAATCATCCTGGATAAATATACCATCCCTGTACTATAACACACTTTTTTTGTTCGTTTGTTTGTTTTTGAGATAGAGTCTTGCTGTGCCTCCCAGGCTGGAGTGTGGCAGTATGATCTTGGCTCACTGCAACGTCTGTCTCCTGGGTTCAAGCTATTCTCGAGCCTCAGTCACCCCCAAATCTGGGACTACTGGCACAAGCCACCACACCCGCTAATTTTTCTGTTTTTTAGTAGAGACGGGGTTTCGCTGTGTTGGCTAGGCTGGTCTCAAACTCCTGGCCTCAAATGATCTGCCTGCCTCAGCCTTCCAAAGTGCTGGGATTACAGGTGTAAGCTACCGTGCCTAGCCCACGCTTTTTAAAAATGCATTTCATGGGCATTCAAGACTCCTAAAGTCTTGAAAAAAGCATGTAATGCAGTTTTTTACCTAATAAAACATTACATTGAATGGGTTAAAAATTATATAGTAAAAAAATAATGGTTATCTCTGATAGGGCATACTGAAGCATTAGAGAGCTAAGATCTAATATCTCAATCTGAGTAGTAATATCACATCCTTGACTGTATGTGCTCTTTGTATGCTATACCTCAATACAAAAGTTCCAAACAAACACATAAAAAATAAGAACAAAACAAAATCAGAGAGCCAGAAAAACATACTTAACTCGCATAGTATCTGATTTTGATTGCTCTGTAGAGCCATCACTGCTAGTTCCTTCTAAGGAAAGGCAAAATATGCACGAGTCTTTTCTATTTCTAGGGTCAGAAGGGGCTTGTAGACAATTAAGGTACAAAGACAGGGCTCCAAAATGTTACCTTAGCAATGCTCATGTACTTTTGTACATATGGAGGCTGTCTCTCCATATGAGCTGAACGATTTACTGAATGCCTAATCTGGAAGTGGTCTACTAATTGACAGTATGAAAAGACAGTGACTGTAAAAAAAAAAAAAAAAAGAACCAGAATATTAAAAAAATTTTACTCCAGTAATCTAAATACTTCTGTCAAAAACATCCCAACTAGTGGTTTACTCAGGTTCAAATCATGCAACAATGCTGACTCCTCCTTTCTCTCTCCTTATACTTAATTCCCAAAAAGACTCTATTCAATTTCCCAGTACTGCCCATATTCTTTCTTATTTCCACTGTAATCTCTCTAGCATAAGCCTTTATTACCTCTTGCTGGACTACTGTAAAGTCTTCTTAATTTTGGTATTTTATTCTTTCCGAGAAACTACATTTTTTATTTTGTATCATGGTTACTTCTATACCTTACTTTGCCCTGTACAACCCTTCTCTAGAGTATTTTATTCATTTGGTACCTTCAGTTACCATTTGCAAAGTAAGAGTTGAAAAAAAGTTTGATTGCTTCATTACGAGTAGAATGATCTGAAAAATTACGATGGTGAATGATTGCTTCATTTAAAGCTGATTTGTCAAGAACAAAACTCTCAAAAGAAAACTTTCTCAAATGAAAATTAGCCTAAATTTTCTGAAAAATTATAAGAAAAAAAGCCAGAAAAGAGACTATAGAACATGTGGTACTTGGCGGGGAAGGAAATAGAATCAAGGAGATACTCTATCAGTAGGTTGTGAAGAAAGAAGATGATATTTACCATTTGGGACTGTCAGTTTTAGGATATATATGAATAAAAGTTGAGAATAAATTTCATATAGAGCCCTGGTAACCACAGCCATCACCTTTCCAAATATTGTTAGTGTCATTGTTTAATAAATATTCGCCAACTTGAATGACTTCAATGCAAATTGGAGGTAAAATTTAAAGGTTGATTTTTTTTTTCCCAACAAAAAATAGAAACTGGGTTTTTTAGTGATTACAGAATAGAATTCTCTCCCTAGCAATCAAGAATATCCTCATTCTGTGGAAAATTTTCTTTTGTGATTAATTAAAGAGGAGAACTGATACTCACTGACTGTCTACTATGGACCAAGTACTATCGAAATGTTAACTCACTTGACTCAAAAAGCCATCTTATGAGATAGATATTACCGTCCTTGTTTCATAGAATTAAACACAGAGTTAGCACATCCACTGACTCCATTCAAACCTTGGTCTGTTTAATTCAAAAGTCAAGAACATCTCATGAACAATGAGCATTCTTAATAATTCAGTGATACTACCACTTCCAAGATAAATTTTCCAACCAGTTGCACTAAAATAGGGAAAATGCGATCAAGTCACACTTTGATTTTATCAGTTACACTGACTGGCAGGCAGGAATATCCTTTGAGATCTGCATTTACTTAATGTCCCGATTCATCTAAATGAATATATATTAGCACTTACTATGTTTCAGTCGCTACTTTGGATTTGGAGGCTGGGAAATACTACCAACTCCGCACAGGGAAACTCTGCGTTCACTCCCAATTGTCATGAGCTTGCCCATAAACTTGTTCCTGAGGAATGCAAGAAACTAAAGAAGCAGGGCGTCCATCAATCAGTCTTGCTCATTCTAGTATTTACAGGTTTGTCAAAGTTGGGCACATATTAGGTACTCAAATATTTGCTGAATGGAAGGAAATTAACATTCCTTGAGCACTTGAACGTTCAAGACAATGTTCGATCACCTCACTGGAATCCTCAGGACAACCAAAAGAGGTAGGTTTTTCACTACTCCCGTTTAATAAATGAGGCTGACAGACTTAGATTCACTCAGCCAGGATTTAAAGAGACTGACCTGAAAGCCCAAGGCTCTCCCCACATCATATCCTACTTAAGAAACCTTTTAATTGTGTGCACACTGCCTCAGTGCGATTTTTGAAATGCCCTCTAGATCACCAAGTTGATAAGTATCTTAGGCTACTTTACACTTTGGCTGCTTTGAAACACTTTCTAGAACGGAACAATGTTAATATAATCTAATTTTAACATTAAATTTCCTTAAAAATTACAAAGACAAAAATTTGAGGTATATAAGAACGAGATTCAAAACTATGAGGCAATGTATCCTCATTAAGGCTTTTTGAAGAAATGACATCTCTAGAAAATCAACAGGAATGAGAGCTCTGCCATGTTAACTGAAAAAAATTTTCCTACAATTAAAAAAAAAGAATGCTACATTAGAAACTGATAGATTAAATGTATCATATCTTTTCTTGTTGAAATTCTCGGTAAACTGCTAGACGTCCTTTCAAGTAGCCTCAATATATCACAATTCATAAAACAAGCCAAAATCTATGTCGGTACACACTAAACAAGTGTTGTATTTCTAAAACTCTATTTCCGAATCTTGTCATACCAAAATTTGAAAAACCGTATGACCTAGTACAGTCCAGAATATCCTCAAACTATAACTCTCCGAAGTGGGTCAGAAAATATCACACAGCTCACAAAATAAAATTTACCTGAACTCACTTAAATTTGATAAATAAAGGTTTGAGCAGCGGCCCGTAAGAGAAGGGGAAACAGAAGCGGAGTGTGAGAGCTAAAATCGAACATTCTGTGCCATGTCTGGCAACCCAGAGTCAGGCCCTCAAATATGTGACACCACTGGGGCGGTTCCGAAGGCGGAGTAAGGTCTCCTGAATAACTCAAAAGGAAAGAGTTTCATAACTTAAGTGGTTTCATTTCAGATTACCCACGTGAAATTGGCTGATGAAAAAAAAATCATACCCACTGCACAGATGAGAAAAAACAGGAGCGTTTTCAGGTTATACAAGCCGACGCCTGGCGCCCGGCGTGACGTGAAACGCTCTAAGTTGCTGCAGCTGGATACCAGGTGGACTGGGATTTAAATTGTGGAAAAATCGGCCTGGCGAGGTACAAGGCCTGTAGACGGAGGACTGTAAGGTCACGGTCACGGAAATTTTCCTGAGGAAGGCGGCTTTGGAGGCTGGGTGCTTTCCGGGCCGGTACCCCGCAGGCCAGTCTCCCACGCGTGAGCCGAGCATGGCGAATGCTGCACGCCCGGGTCCCGCTCCCAGTCGCAGTTTCTTCACCCCAGAGGTCACCCTGACCCGGAAACAGTACCCCAGAAGCAGCGGTCAGGCGTCGGGGGAGGTCGGGTGGAAGGGCGAAAAGGAAGGTGGGAGGGCAGGAAGTGCGCGAAGAGGCGGAGGGCCCACGGCGAAGGCCAGACGATGCCCCAGAGGCTAGGGCTGGGGTCGGGATGGGGGTTGGGAGAGGAAAGCCCCTCCCAAGCACGCGCGAACCGCACACACTCACCTGCCCCTCCCCCTCCCCGCCCGCCCGGCGGAGGCTCCGAGCTGCCGCGGGCCGCGCGCGCGCACACAAGGCGCGCTCACGCGCGCTGCCTGTCTCTTCCTCGAGCTCGCGCTCCGCCCGTTCACTCCCAGCCCCGCTCATTCAAAGCCGGGCGCGCGCTCCCTGGCAGCCTGCGTTGCCTCCGCGCAGCCTCCATGGCCGCCCGCTGCTCGGGAAACCCGCCCCCAGTCCCTCCTCTAGCCCCACCCCCAGCCCCCCTTGAAGGCGGATCTCGGCTGTCTCCAGGCCCTGGCTTCCGCACTCCGCCTCAGGGTCTGGCTGGCCCAATAGGTGAGAGGCTACGGGTCTGACGTCAGGATTGGGAGCCAATGAGCGCCGGGAGCGGGGCAAGCGGCGACAGGCACGCCAGGTTCGGTGAGGGGTGGCTTTTTGGGACCATTGCGGGCTGCTTTGACTGTTTATTCTCGGAGCGCCTGGTTCTGCCAGATGTCTCTACTTTCCTTCTATGCAGAGCGCCTCCCCTCCAGTCGAGCCCCTTTCTGCTCAACCCACAGAACCCCGCTATCAGATGCGACCAAGGAAGATACATTTCAATAAATGCGGGATCTCCCTCTGTCTCAGGAATATTTGGGTGCGGCTAGACAGACCCCCTCCTCTCAGTCTTTCCACCACCTCAAAGATGCGGAATGCTGAGTTTAATTCAGGACGTAGCCTCCTCCCAGTATTTTTTAATTGAATTTTGTTTAACTAGAAATTAAGAAGTGGCACTTCACCGTGTCCATGCATTTGTTCCTCACATGCACCCTGGACTTGCCCTTCTTTCAACCTGAGATGTTCTTTCCTTCAGTGCTTCTCTCTTTGCAGCCTGATTCTTCTTTTTATCTTGTATGCTATGAAAAGGATCGAGTCCTTGGTTATTATGTGCAGGGGACCCTCAGAATACTATGCTCCACAGTTGCAAAGTGACTGGTGAGGGAGAAGTGAATAGGGTCTAAGGCCAAAATCAGTTTATGCAAATTGTTCCTCAACAAGCCTTTATCTTTATATGCCTTTAATTTTTCTTTTTCTTTTTTACTACAACTGCCTTTGTTCTCCCACCCTGACCCAGCCACCACCTACCAACTTAACTTTGTGATAATCTACCACCACCGTCCTCCTTCGAATTTGCACCACGTTTTTTATTAATAATTTCATTTCCAAGAAGGGAAAGATGTGTTTATGACTCGTGCTCTGGAATGGTTCTGTGTAACGTTGGATAAAATTATTTAATCTCTTCACCTCAATTTCCTCATCAGTAAAACAGCCATAATAGTGAAGCATTACTTCATGCTGTAGTAATGCTTGCAAAGCTCTCTTAGCACAGAGCCTGGCACATAGCAAACATTAATAGATAATAGTCGTTACTGCGGCTACTACTACTACTGCACTACTATTGCACTACTACAGTCTCATTCCCGATAACTGCATTTCCCAAAGGCCATGCAGCCCCTGGCAGTCCGTTAAACACCTGCTTTAACTTTAATCTCTAGCATTCTAATGTCTAAATTTCAATACAAAATTTCTATTTTTTTTTTTTATTTAAAAAATCCAATTATCTAGCTGGGCACAGTAGCACATGCCTGTAATACCAGCACTTTGGGAGGCCGAGGCAGGAGAAACGCTTAAGCCCAGGAGTTTAAGACCAGCCTAGGCAACGGGCGAAACTCCCTTTCTACAAATAATTTAAAAATTCGCCAGCTTTGGTGGCGCGTGCCTGTAGTCCCAGCTACTCAGAAGGCTGAGGTGGGAAGGATCACCTGAGCCCAGGAGGTCGAGACTACAGTGAGCCATGATTGGGCCACTGCACTCCAGCCTGGGAGACAGAGCAAGACCAAAAAAATAAATTAATTAAATAAATCCAAAATAACCTATATTCGGATATAAACATGTTTTAAATTTTTTTTCTTAAAGAGTTGATTGCTTTAGATGATTTATTATGCCCTAGGATATTTTCTTCTTTTTCCTGATTCTTCAGTTTTATTAAATTTGCCTTTCCAAATGAAACAAAACGAAAGGTATATACTTTTCCAGAAACACCTAGTTACTGAGTACTTGTTTCCCAACACAATAGCAAAACAAACAGAAAACAAAACTCGCTAAAGACTGCAAATTTAAAATTTACTTTAGTAATAACTATAAAATAATATTTAAAATCATCTTGTGAAATAGTTAAGTCCATAATTGGGATCACAAGTCAATAATTTGGATTTGGGTTTAGGGACCACCTCTTGGAAACAGGCAACTTTAAGTCCTGTCCTCTCCCCAAAGCTTGTGTGGAGTGGGAATAGGGAACCACCAAATGTCAAATGGGAGGAACATAAGGGATAGAACCTGGTATATGAATTTCTTTTACTCAGTGGAATATAGTTAATTCTGCCTGCTCTGAGTCCAACCATTTTGCTCACTCTAAAGCTTCTGATCAGCCTCTGCCCAATTACCAGCTTGATTTATTCACACTATCAACTCCAGCCAACCACTTACTCTCCCCTTTCAAAGCCTACATAGGCTTTGTTCTGAGTTCTCCAGCTGGGGCTAACTCTGGCCTTGTCACCTGACCTGGCCCAGGAGGTAGGAGCAGACTGCAAACACAGCCCTCTGTTCCAGATCTTTCCCAACCCAGTTCCCTGGCTTTTCACCAAAGGGTGGGTTTTTTCCCCTGAAACACAATTTTAGACCTGCTGTTCTGACTTGAACTTTAATGGCTTTTTATTAATGAGCAGCTGTTCACAGTTGAATACAGATCATAAAGTCACGTTCATTTCTTGATCAAGGAAAACAAAGCTTTGCCATTCATAGAGTGACAGCTTTGAGCAGATACATTTAAAGCATAGGATTTTCTGATGAGAATTTTAATGAATTGTTTTATTAATCTTCCCACTGGGGAATTTTACTTGCTTTCAAAATAATAAACTTCAGTATTCTGGAAAATTATGACTTCTTTTTTAATATTCAAAATCACCATATACTAGTTAGGGTCAATTGCCTAATAGAGAAATCAAACAGTCTGAAGCAGCATTTTTATTTCTTTTCTATTACATGAAAATTAACCTTCTATGAAGCATTTAAATAAATTTTTCCTCATAATTGTTATTACAATTAGCAGTAACTTTTATTGCTAAATACAGGAAGACTCAAGATTTAGTAACAATTTAGAGTTAACCAGGTTTCTTCAGAAGGGGCTTGGATAGAAATCGAGAAAAATAATTCATATATTTTAGTAGAAATACATTCAAATGAAAAGAGGTGAATTCTCATTTTGTGTTCAGTAGTGAGGTTCAGCAACATCATGCTTCTGGCTAATGTCCACATCGTTATTAGATTTATAACAGAGTTCAGCTATATTATGAATGAAGTAGGGTTGATCTGAACAGGATCTGGGAGTCTAAGACCTTTTGTTATTTCTAACAGTAAATGTATTGAAATTCATACAACCAACATAAAACAGTAGTTTGTAACATAATCTATCTTGTACATGGATTGAGAAAGTAGAAATAAAACAACACGAAACAATGGGAGACTCATTCATTGAGCTACAGCATGACAGACGTCGTGACTTTGACCTTGAACAAGTTTAAGCCTCAGTTTTCTCATCTGCAAAATTACATTAGTAATTCCTGCTTTACAGATTTCTTTTGCAAATTAAATATCATACCATATGTGGAAATGTGTTGGAAATACAGCAATAAAATTGGTGAAAGCTTTAAAGCAAACAGATTTATTATCCTCAAGATCAGGACAATCCCCTTTGGCTCACAACATGGAATAGTGCTTCCAGGAAATAGAGGTGAATTTTATGTCATCAGCAACCAGAAGTAGACATGTTTACTAGCAATATATTAACAAAGGGAAACAGGGAGGGAAAGCCAGAATTCAACCCTCCATACCCCTACTTCTACCTTCTTTATTCCCTTTGTTTTAAAGGCATAGGATGAAAGAGCAGCTGTCAGAACTAGGACACCTACAACCCTTCCCCTTTCTCTCCAGGCTTTTATATACCACTCATGGGATATTTATCTCATAACAAGATCTGTTGCCAAGTTTTGTCTATTCTTTCTTCTCAGTGTCCATAATTTCAGCACATCTGGATAGCAAAATGATCTGCTAACTTAGTCTTTTGTATTTTACTATTTTCCTTCCTCTAAGTCACTTTGGTACTTTGCTATCTGATTAATATAAATATTGTTAAGGCACAGCCTTCTTCATAGTAACTGACCTTTTTAAATTTTCTGGTGTCCGTCAATTCAAATTCACTTAGGAGGATATGTGTCTTGATTGTTGCTTTTTAAACTCTTAATTTTGAATTGTTTGTTTGGGGATCTCCCTCTAACCACCTATGGCCCTTTAAGACATGCCAGAATTCTCGTTAAAGGAGTTAGTCTATGTATACTGTACATTTCATACAGTGAAAATTAACTTAAATCTATATTTTATACTGTAGTTCTTATTTGAAATTAAATCCTTTAAGGATTATTTTCACTTGAAAATTGAACTCATAATCATACTAGAAATTTTTGATGTGAAGAACTTAATAAATTAATTTTTTCTTCCTAAGAATTTATAGAATTTATATATATAAAGGATCATCTGCCTAAATGCATAAATTACTGTAACGAAAAACCAAAGGAAAATACTCTTGCCATGTAGCCAGGCACAGTCATAAATATCTTGCACAAAAGGAATTAGTTTTTTTTGCTCATAGGCACAGAGCCCATTACCATAGCAACCATAATTACTCAGTCTATAACTGGGTGTGAATTTTATACACTGCTACTTCAAACATTAAGGCTGTAAGTCAGGATAAAGTGCAATTTCTGTAATATTTTGAAAAGACTTCTTAATCTCGAAAAGCTAGGATAGGAAAAGTTTCATTATGCTACCTAATCATTGGTTTATTAGAAAGTTTATTTAACACCATGGGCAAAGTGTGTGCTAAGCACTTCAGAGAAGTTGAAAGAATACATAGTCCTTAACCTAAAAAAAAACTTATCTAATAAAGTCAGCATTCATGGGTGAACAGCGTTCTTAGAACAGTTTTTCCATGACCATCTTCCTAATTTCAGAATGATGGAATTATAACAACTACAGTACTGTATTAGGACTTGCAAGTAAGGCAATAAGAGGTTTGTAGCTGTACCTACTATGTCCCCTATGGCACACTTTTCCTATTTGGTCTTACAGTGTGTCTGTAGCTACTCTCTGAGGAGGGGAAATTGGGGGAATAAATTTTAGTATTTCTTTCACTGGAGACTGAACACTCCTTGCAGTTACTACCATCATGAGGAAGCTGAAAATGCCCACTGATGAGCTTAGAAAAAGGTCAAGACCCTCCCACTGTTTCAGTAGTTCCCCAACCCAACACATAATGGATTCAGATTAAAGGTATTTTTTTTGTTGTTTGTTTTATTTGTTTGTTTTTTGTTTTGTTTTGTTTTTTGAGGCGGAGTCTCAGTCTGTGGCCTAGGCTGGAGTGCAGTGGCACGATCTCGACTCACTGCAAGCTCTGTCTCCCAGGTTCACTCCATTTTCCTGCCTCAGCCTACCGGGTAGCTGGGACTACAGGTGCCTGCCACCACGCCGGCTAACTTTTTGTATTTTTAGTAGAGACGGGGTTTCACCGTGTTAGCCACGATAGTCTCGATCTCCTGACCTCGTGATCTGCCTGCCTTGGCCTCCCAAAGTGTTGGGATTACAGGCGTGAGCCACTGCGCCCGGTCTCAGATTAAAGTTTAAGCATTTCCATTTGGGAGGGTATAGGTAGTAACTCAAAGATGCATGGGGTATTATAACCCTGGCATTGTCCACCTTTCCCATTAGGAAGGATTAACTCTCTGTTCCCTTGTTCCTTTCAAATTTTGCCATCTCAGATATCTGATGAAAGCGGGAGATGCATCTTTTAGGATTAGGATAACCACCAAATAACAATGAAACCCTGAAGGAGCCAGGGCTGGTATAGGGCACCACAATGTCAGGAGCCCAGACTCCTTTCAGCTGAGCTCTCTGGGTTCTGGAAGAGGTATAAAAATATTCTTCACACAAGGACATTGTAAAAGCCATAAAATTGTCCACCATCTTAGTCTTTTCTTACCTAAAGGTTTAATTCAATCCACTGGAATTTTTTTTTTTTTTTTTTTTTTGGTCAAGATTTTTCTGTAGATTTTTAGTAAGGAGATTTTCTAACACAAGTTATGGAGCAGTAAAAAGCACTGGCCTTTATCCTCCAGGTCTCAGGAGCCATCTTGCTCCATGTAGCAGGAAAAACAGGAAAGGATGAAGAAAGGGCAAAGGGATGCATAATAGCTGTTTTAGCAGTTTCTAGAATATGCCACAAGATAATGTCTGTTTTTGTAACCCACTGCACAGAAGTTGATCGCTCTCACTGCAAGTGAAGCTGGGAAATTGCCTTTGTTCTAGGTGGCCCTGTGCCTAGCCAATAATTCTAATACTTAGCACTCACAGGGTGCTTATTACATGCCAGGCACTGTTACAGGGTAATAAGAAGCCCAGTGGTTTACTGGGCCAGGGATTGACATGATATAGGCCACATTATGGAAATAAAAACAAGAGTGTGTCATTTTACCGCCTGTAGGCACTGTGTTACATGTCATATATGTGATACCATCAGTCTTCAGATACCACACTTTCCACATTTTGTAGTTGAAGAAACTGAGAATAAGGGAAACTAAGAGCTTGCCTGAGGGCATAGAAGTGGTAAAGTATAAACCAAGAATTTGAACAGGAATTTGGATTAAAAACTCTACCCAATGAAGCACTTGCCCATGCTTGAGGAAAAGTGGGAAGCAATTAAATGTTGGAATTTGGGCTCTGGAGTTAAATTGTCTGTGTTTGAATCCCAGCTTTACCATTAGTAGCTCTGTGAACTTGGGAATTTAACCTAACCTTTCAACATTTCAAGTTTCCTCATTTGGAGAAGGGAATAAGGTTATCCTCATAGGATTGCTGTAAGGAGAGAGTCCATGTAGAACACACAGCATAGTGTCTGGCATGTAGTGAACATGTGATAAACCTTTATTATTGATTATTGTTATTATTAGTGCTAGGGGTATTTTAAATAGCACTTTTGGGGATAAATGAATAAAAGGTGAAAACAGATGGACCATCTAGAAGTCATTGCAATGATCAGAAGGTGATGGAATTTAGGAAAGAGTAGAGAGTAGTACAAGATATAAACATTTCTCTTACCATGAGAAATACAAGAAGCTATTCTTATTAACTTCTTATTCTCTGTTTCTTACTTTGACCAAAATTGGAACAACATATTTACTTCACCAACATTTCAGGTCTTAGATAGAAGAGCATTCACACACCAAAGGATTTTTATTACTTGTTCAAGAGCTAGATAGCCACTTCTTACAATAAAAAATATTTTAAGAATTTAAACATTAATTTCTAAGACAGGAATGTTCAGAGAAATATTATTTAAATGCAAAAAAATTTAAAAGCAAAAATAAAAGTTGCTTAGCATATGAATAAGGGATATGGGAAGCCATATTGCCCATGGATTCCAATAATTCAAACATTTTTAAAAGCAGTAATTAAATTGTAATTTATCTGGAATAAGCAATTATATGTTATGATTATTCTAGAAAGTTCTTAAAAAGCAGACAGCCAGAAACCTAAAGCAGTTAAATCAGGAACTTTTTAACAAAGTCTGTGGCTAAGAAACAATTTTTAGAAATTCCTTTTACTGCCATATAACTTGTATTAGAAAATTTCCTTATTAAAAACTGACAGAAAATATCTTGACAAAAAAACTCCAATGGGCTGAATTAAACCTTTAGGTAAGAAAAGAATACAGATGGTGGACAATTTTATGGCTTTTACAATGTTCTTGTGTGAAGAATATTTTTGTATCTCTTCCAGAACCCAAATGTAGGAATTTGTTCCATAGATGCTGGAATTGCAGTTTTTGGAATTTAGTTTTCTAACAGAAAGGAAGTATCATGGAATGAACAGTAAACTGGATTTGCTTTAGGAAGACTGATTTTTAAGTCTTAGCATGAAATGGCCCGTGTTGGGTCTCTTTCCCTCTCCCTATCCCAGGAACAGAGGTTTTTCACTCCACCAGGGTTGGAACTGAGAGGAGTATAAAAGTGCTGTGTTACCTGGTGCTGTACAATCAAGTATCAATGCTCTCTGGACATGGCAAATGTTCCTCCTGAAGGGGCTTTCATGTATTACTTTGAGGACTACCTTGTCAGGGATCACTTACCTGCAATTCCTTTAAAGTTGTGACTATTTCCTTTCCAGCTGTTCGTGTGAACTTTTTCCGTAGCCCCTAGGCCTTCAGTGGTCCTCTCCCAATTTTCTTCGACTGCCCTTCTAGGTTGCTCTCCTGAACAAGGCTTAAGGCCTCCATATTGCTAGCAACCTCATGCTTTCTCTCTCTCTCTCCCCCTCTCTCTGTCTCTGTCTCTCTGTCTGTCTCTCCCTGAGACAGTGATCCATGTTGTATTGAAATGGTCTGTTTCCATTCTTTCCCCAAATATCCTGAAAACTCTTCGAGGGAAGGCATAGCATGTTATTTCTTGTAGCCTTCCTACTTACTAGAACACCGAATAGATACTGCTCAAATGAATGAAATGCCACATTTATACCGAGATATTTGATTTTACCACCTAGTAAGTGTTTATATGTTTTCTGCTAAGTAAGATTAACAATGATCTGAAGTGAATGTACTAGGAAATGGTATACAAGAGATAAAGGTATGGGCTTTGTTGAATTCTCTCAGCTGTCCCAAATGTTTGCTGAGTGTCACTTGCTGGAAGGCTCTGGATATGGCTTCAATGTCTTTATTAGGAGTTCTGTCAAACTAAGTATTCCCTTTAGAATTTTCTGAGTAAAGAATTGCTATTTTCAATAGTATTAGAGAGTTCGGTTAACTAAGTCTGTAGCTTTTTTGCATTCTCTAATTTATCTTCTTGAAAATAAGTCTGTTCTGTTCTGTTGTTGACTTCCCCACACTTTATGCTTCATTCATCCAGGAAACAGTGAATAAGCATCCACCAGTTAAGGGAACCCCTCAACCCTCAACTGGTGCCTGGGGTTGAGGGGAGTCATGCTCTTAGTAGTGGCAGTTTTGAGTGGGAAGGAGGGGTAGGCAGAGAAGAAGTTTGGACTTATTCCAAAAGATCATTCCAAGGACAAGAAAACTTTTCTTAGGATATTGGCCAGTGTTTGGCAGATCCAGAAATACAGGACAGTCTAGGATTCCTGGGATTACTGTGAATCTGAAAGACAGCAACTCAGTGTGAAAAATCTGAGATGAGATTGTCATCTCTGATTGTGTGAAAACAATCTTGTCTCTCCAAAATCATTAGAAACTAGAATGGCTTAGATTGTTGGAAATCAAAGCCTTATAAATGGATAGAGAAAATAAGAACCGCCCCCCCCCCGCAAGTATTAAAAAGAATACTTAAAATGCTTCCAATCTGATGTAAAGAGCTTCTTAAATCCGAACTTGACAAGCTCTTTCCATTATTTAAAGGATTCTAGAATTTGTTGGTACAATAACTTAGAGGTGTCATATCTACTTCCAAATAACAGATTTCTGGAAGTTTAATGAAATGAAATAAGAACATACCAATATAAAGAATCAAAACAAATTTATATTTTGAAGAAATCTGATTTTAGTGTTTAAAGCTAATTAGTACATTGTATATATTATAAAAATATTTTTAGTATATTTTCATGAAAATGCTATAGACTTTTGTCTGTTGCCCCCAAAAATAGCTAATAATTCTTATATTTTTGTTTTCAGCCTATTCTTCAGAACAGTCCTTTAGTAGCTTCCTGAAAAATGAAAACAATACACAACAATTTTTAAGTAATAATAGCATATAGTATAATTTAAAATATATTTCATTAATTTTAACTTTTATCATTTTTATGGTATAGTTAGCAGTATTTCCAAGTTTACCCATTTAATGTTAGAATCAGTAATTTTTTTGTAGAAATTTATAGATTGTGGTGCTTATACAAGATTTTTTTATTTTTCACATTCAAAAATGCACATTTAAAATATAAGATCTTTAATTTAGTGAAACTTCATGATCCTCTTAAAAGTAATATATTATTAGTTCAGAATGCAAAGTTATAAAAGAACCCAGCATTTTAATCCATTAATAGTGTTTAAATTATCTTATATTCTAATTGAAAAATGGTAGTTTATTTAGTAGCAAAGGAGAAGCCATTGATTAATCTTCTTATTTGGAAAAGTTCCTGGAAAAATCTCAGGAGCTACATCGTTTACTAATTATTTGAGAACAGAATTATATTAATTTGGTAAAGTACCAAAGTTGTCAGGAGTAAGCAGGATGAGAGTCAATAAAGATTTTTGCACGTAATGAGGCAATGCAAAATTCACAAATATATATTGAGCAATACTTAGCTAATTAGACCTTGTATTTTAATGCTTCTGAGAAAAAAAATAAAATGAATTAAAGAAATGCTTGTCATTCTATTATAAAATAAACAATTGGTCTTACTTTTATTACTATTCTGGAGACAAGAAAACTGGCATAAAAGTAATGTAAAACCCCCTGTCTATACTCAGCTATAAGAGGCCAGGACAAGGTCTCTGCAAACCATGCTTCTCCTTTGACCACTGGACTCCAGTTAATTTTTTCCATTAGGAGAGAAGAAAGGATTTCCTTCTTCTTGTTTTCTGGCTGTTCCTGAGACCCCAGTAGTTTGTTTCAGCCTGCAGTTTGTTTTGTCACTTCCAGACCCAGCCTTGCTATGTCCCCTGATCCTTTATATTTAAATTTAAAATCTAGTCTTGGCTTTTATTGCTCAATATGATTTAGTATTATTCTAAATTGTTACCTCACCTCAAATTCTTCCTCAACTTTGTTATACAGTATCTCTTATGTGATTTTTTTCACTAAACTGTCAGAAACTATCCCTCATTAAATGAACTGAAAACTGATTAATATATTCCAATAAAAACTCTTTACAATTTGCCTACAATACCCCTACTCAACATCTCCCCTTAAGTCAGAGGTAAAGACTCAACTTTCACTTTCAAGATTTAAAATCAAACCACATTTTTAGTACTTATAATATGTAAGGCATACAGTCCTGTAAGTGCTCACAATTTGGTGAGGAAGATATATTTGAATATAAGCTTAATACAAGTACATTACAGAAAGGACTATAATAATGATACAAACACAAAGTGCAATTGGAGACCAAGGGAGAGGAGAATTAAATGTAGAGTGGGAAGGAAGAAGGGAAACCTGCTGGATGAGGTGGAATTTGAGCAAGACCTAGAAGGATGCTGTGAGAGGTAACCTTGGTGATTAGAGGCTGGCAGCCAAGGTATAGATATAGGGGATATGTGGGATGGAGAGAATTCTTTCTGGAAATGATTTGGTAAAAGGAGGCAGTCTTCAAAACTGTTTCAAGGTCTTTGACGTTGATACTGTTTTTTGCATGTAGTGAGGAATAGTTGAGGATTTGAGATTACTGTTAGCTTTACGTGACCTTAAATCTGACAGCAATATGGAGGATAGGCAAAAATGGCAAGGCATTAACTGAGAAGGGGTAGCTGGAAAAGTATGTTTGTAAGGAAATGATGAGGAATTCTGTGGTAAACATGTATAACTGAAGATGTTTTATTCTACTGTCATTTTTTCCTTGCTCCTATCATGTCCCTGTTCTTGAGTGCCTTTTCCCTCCCTCTCCAAATCTTACACATTTTATACAGTCCCAACTTTCATGTGTTCCTAATGCAATGACATTTGCAATCATCTCTAATCATATAGAGACCTCTCCCCTTTATTAATCTCTCTAATATTCAGTGTCTCTGTCTGCCTGTCATTTCTGGTACTAGCACCGTTATTATCCTTAGTGAAACTACACCTCCACCATTCTCAGTACCTTACCCCATGTGACCCAGGCCAAGCTAATTAGAACGCTGTGGCCACAGTGATTGGTTCAGGAATGGGCATGTGACCCAAGGCAGGTCAATGACATAGCTTTGGGGCTTTTCTCTGGAACCGTTGGGAAAGAGGTTAGCTTTTTCTGTATTGGTTGATGGGCTGGCAGAAGATGTTGGTGGGTACCTTTGTAATGAGGATTGGGGGTGGTGAGGAGTCAGCCTGGAAGTGAAGCCAACACCAAAGAGAGTAGAGCCAAGAGAATAAGAGACAGAAGTTCTAGAAGATACCATTTGAGTCCTTAGATCCAACTGTTTCAGAAACTTCTGGACTCCTCAGTTAAGTGATCACTTTACTAGCTAGATCATTTCAAGCTAAGAAACTGCATCTTGCAACTCAAAAAGAGTTCTGACATGACCTGCACTTTTGTTTCACCACATTATTTATTTATTTATTTAAGTACGTATTTATTTACGTACATATTTATTTCATTTATTTATTTTGACAGAGTCTTGCTCTGTCATGCAGGCTGGAGTACAGTGGTGGGATCTCAGTTCACTGCAGCCTCCACCTCCCAGGCTCAAGAGATTATCCTGCCTCAGCCTCCCAAGTAGCTGGGATTACAGTTGCACACCACCATGCCCAGCTAATGTTTTTATATTTTTAGTAGAGATGGGGTTTTGCCATGTTGGCCAGGCTGGTCTCCAACTCCTGACCTCAGGTGATCCACCTGCTTCAGCCGCCCAAAATGCTGGGATTACAGGTGTGAGCCACTGTGCCCAGCCTTGTTTCACCACATTCTTATAGACCAGCATGTAGTGAATAACATTTTCCATAGGTTGTCTTGTCTCTGCCATTGAGGCTGTTACTTTCTCTTTGTGTACACAGTGATATCATGCAGAAGAGCTGGGCACACAGCCTTTATCCAGTAAACACTGGTACTTCAATATGTGGAGAAATACTGTATTAATGGACTGTACTTACTTAAAGTTATCTTCAAAGTTGAAACTGCAGCCATAAATATTTCCAAGAGCCACATTCTTCCAATCAGACAGCTAATTACTACAGTCATTATCTGGGCATATGTACCCACAGTTGATGCTTTGCTGTTGCTGCTGCTGCTGCCACTGCTGCTGCTACTACTGCTGCTGCTGCCACTGCTGCTGCTAGAGACAGACTCTGCCAGCAGACTGAAAGTTCTGGATTCTACCCAAACAACATTATCCAGTATAAATTCAATCTTGTAATTTTTTCCTGGAAAAAAAAAAGCATCATAGTGTTTGATTTCCTTTTATGTTTTACTTGTTTTCATATAGTTCCCATTTGATTTTCATTGACTGAAAAACACTATATAGATCCTGATGAACTATTTTTGAAAGTTGAGTCAAATAAGTTAGTTTAAGTACAGACAAGTATAAACAGGGTCTCAGAGTTAGAAGAGTTCTATCTGTCCATTAACTGAACAGCAGGGAAGTTAGGTAGATTTTCTTTCTGTGGCAGCAGTACCTGCTTCTTAGAGCCCCTTCCTAGTGCCCAGGACTGGACAAAGACTGTTAGAAAAGAAATGAGGGACAACAGGGAAGAGAGGTGAGGGTGCTGAATCTCAGTTTCATCCCTTCGTAATTGACCTAGGAGTAGAGAAGCATCAGTCTCAGTTGGGGGCGGTGGGGATGGATACTGAACTTTTTATTTTGAAAAATTTCAAACAAGAAAAGAGTTGAAGGAATAATACAGCAAACAACCATATGCCCTCCATTCGGATTCAAAAAAGTTTTACCGTGTTTCACATTTGTTTGAAGTTAGATGCTATTTTTGTATTACAAGGCTGTGACCCTTTTTCCTTACTCCGGGTAGACATTTTAGAAACATTGTTACTTGTGTTTAGAATGTAAAAAGTTAAAGAGCTCATCCAATATTATTTAATCTCCAGCTTAAATCTTCCCACAGTTTTGAATAGGAGATAACCAATATATTTTTCCTTGCTATAATTTCTTTTGGGTCTGTTGCTATCATTTATAGTAGTCATCACACAGAATAGCATTTCTAATACTTGTACAGCCCTGTAAGTTTTTACTCATCTGTTTTCTCTGTTATTTGTTTTTAAAAAGTCATTTCTGTTTTCATTCTTTATTTAGGAAGAGAATATGATTAGATCTTGATCACATCTGTGGTTTTATGAACAATTGCAATTCATTATATAACTTTCAGGATATATGCGCACTGTACTATAGAATTTTCTGTCACTGACAATTCCTGACAATGATGTATTAAAATTTTTTTCTTTTTGCATTAAAAAATCTGAATTTTTGTGGCAGGTGAGTTTGTTTTTTTTTTATTAATTTTCTTGATGCGCAAATAATTTAGGGTAGTCCTTTTATTTTGTTTTTCTCCTCTGGAAGTACTGTGAAGAAGCCCAAGCTAGCTTTATGGAAAGACCACATAGAGGAGAACTGAAGAACCCAGCTGAAATCCAGAATCAGGTCCATAGAGATATGACCTCAATTAAGCCATCTTAGCCAGCTCTAGTTAACAGAAAATCCCAGCTGAAGCCCCAGACATTGGAGCAGTGATGAGCCATCCTGGCCCAAATTTCTGACACACACAATTGTGAGCAAATGAAATGGTGTTATTAGATTTGGGGCTGGTTTGTTACATAGCAATAGAAACTGAAACAAGCACTAAACATTACACAGGATGCTAAACAAATATGTCCCAGTGTCTATTAGTAATACTGTCTTTATCTAGGTTGGTTAAAGATGCAGATTCTTTTTCTCCCACCCATTTCTCACATCACCATTTTCTGTGTTAGAAACCACAACCCATATCTCCTCTACCCAAATACTCTGCTTTGCTCTTTATGGAGCTATATGTAGAAGAGGGGTGCTGTGCTGTCAGGCCACAGTCTGATCAGCAAGGGGATTTCCTTCAGTGCAGTGACTGTGGGGCTTACCTGTTAGAAAGAGTCAGTGAAAGATATTTTGTTAATTTTCTCACTAATGCTTTGTTGTTGTTATAATTTTACTGTGTTTAATCTACAAACTGGCTAACTGATTTAAAAATAATGAAGAGATCCCTATACTTGGCTTTCCCTATTGTACATAACCAGGGAACTGAGATGCCACACTTGATGAAGAAAAAAGGAGAGAGAGAGAGAGAGGAAGAGGGGAGGGGAGAAGGAGAGGGTAAGAGAGACGACAGAGGGGGAGGGAGGGAGGGATGGAAGGAAGGAGAGAGGGAGGAAGGAAGGAGAGAGGGAGGAAGGAAGGAAGGAAGGGACGGAGGGAGGGAGGGAGGGAAGGAAGGGAAGGAAGGAAAAGGAAACACATAGGTGAAGAGCCCTGGTACTTCTCCATGGCAAGTAAGACAGACACTCCCAAGGGAAGCTTTGAATTCTGAAAAAAACTTAATGTATGAAAGAAAATGCTTAAATTATTATTTTGTTGCCACAGTAAAATGCCAAAACCTATTTTAGTGCCTTAATGCCCCAGTGATCCTGGGTACTTTTGGAACATTGTAGTTTGAAGACCTTGGTCACAAGGTTGGTTCGTTGCCACTGGGCACTTACTGGGTCCACCCTCATGAGGAGGTGAACAAACTTCTTTTCAGGTAGGGTTCTTGCCAGCTGCCTCATTTCCCATAAAAAAAAATTCCATTTGGGCTGATAGTTAAAAGAATTTAGCTCTGCTCTTTTTTTTTTTTAATTTATTTATTATTATTATACTTTAAGTTGTAGGGTACATGTGCATAACGTGCAGGTTTGTTACATATGTATACTTGTGCCATGTTGGTGTGCTGCACCCATCAACTCGTCATTTACATCAGGTCTA